ACCTAGCATGTTAGAAGAACCATTCACTGTAGAAATGGCAAATGGAAAAACGGAAAACACTAACTGCATATACATGGGTTGTACATTAACGTTAGACGGTCACTCTTTCCCAATCAACCTCATGCCAGTCCAAATCAAAAGTTTCGACGTCATAGTTGGCATGGATTGGTTAAGTCCTCTTCGTGCCGACATCATGTGCTATGAAAAAGCCGTTCGTCTAAATCTCCCTAACGATGAAACATTAGTGATTTACGGTGACAAATCAAGTACAAACCTTCGCATCATTTCGTGCATCCAAGCTCGAAAGTGTTTGCGGAAGGATTATCAGGCATTTCTTGCACACATCGTCGATACGAGTCGGGAAGTAAAGGATATTAACAGCATTCCAGAAGTACGTGACTTCCCCGATATCGTTCCAGAAGAACTACCGGGATTACCACCACAACGCCAAGTCAAGTTCTGAGTCGATTTAGTTCCAGGGGCTACCCCTGTAGCAAAATCGCCCAATCATCTGGCACCAGCAGAGATGCAAGAACTTTCCAGTCAGCTTAACGAACTCCACCAAAAAGGATTCATTAGACCAAGTTTCTCACCTTGTGGAGCACTGGTCTTGTTTGTAAAGAAGAAAGATGGGTCGTTCCGGATGTGCATCGACTACCGAGAGCTGAACAAACTCACTGTAAAAAATCGTTACCCTCTGCCCCGTATTGACGACCTATTTGATCAACTTCAAGGAGCGAGCTACTTCTCGAAGATAGATCTATGATCCGTATATCACCAATTACGAGTGTTGGAGGAATATGTTCCCAAGACAACCTTCTGAACCTGTTATGGACACTACAAATTTGTAGTGATGCCGTTCGGATTAACCAACGCACCAACAATATTTATGGACCTAGTGAATAGAGTGTCTCGTCCTTACTTGGATCAGTTCGTCATCGTCTTCACTGATGATATACTTATCTACTCCCGAAGTAAGGAAGAACATGGTCAGCACCTACGAAGAGTCTTAGAAACACTACGATCGGAGAAGCTCTATGCGAAGTTCTCTAAATGTGAATTTTGGATTCGAAGAGTCAACTTTTTGGGCCACGTTGTTAGCGAAAAAGGGATGCATGTGGACCCCTCCAAAATTAAGTCCATTAAGAACTGGTCGGCACCAAAGACACCTACAGAGATTCGTCAATTTCTAGGTCTAGCTGGCTACTATCGCAGATTCATAAAGAACTTCTCTAGCATCGCAACACCTCTTACTACATTAACCTAGAAAATAGTGGCCTTTGACTGGGAAGCAAAACAAGAGAAGGCGTTCCAAACACTGAAACATGCCTTGTGCACCACACCGATACTATCCCTCCCCAAAGGGATAGAAGATTTTGTAGTGTATTGAGATGCATCAAATCAAAGACTTGGTTGTGTTCTTATGCAACGAGGAAAGGTTATTGCCTATGCCTCCCGTTAGCTTAAGACACACGAAGTAAACTATACAACACACGATCTTGAGTTAGTAACAGTGGTACTTGCTTTAAAGATCTGGAGACACTACCTGTACAGAACAAAGAGTACTATTTACACTGACCACAAGAGCCTTCAACACATTTTAGATTAGAAGGAGCTCAACATGCGACAACGACGATGGGTCGAGTTACTCAATGATTACGAATGCAAGATTCGCTATCATCCTGGCAAGGCCAATGTGGTGGCTGACGCCCTCGGTCGAAAAGAATACACTGGTTGGAGAGTCAAATCTCTGAATATGACTATCCATTCCCACTTATCCACACAAATTAAGGAAGCTCAACTGGAAGCTTTACAACCGGAACATGTGACAGGTGAATCCCTGAGAGGAATGGAAAAAAATCTAGAAATCAAGGGTGGCAGAGCCTATTATGTCATGGACCGTATCTGGACACCGAGACATGGTGGTTTCAGAGACGTGGTCATGACTGAAGCACACAACACGAGGTATTCCGCTCACCCAGGTTCAGATAAAATGTATCTGGATCTTAAGAAGCTGTACTGGTGGCCTAACATGAAAGTAGAGATTGCTACCTTCGTAAGTAAATGTTTTACTTCTGATAAGGTTAAGGTCGAGTACCAGAAACCTTCAGGATTTCTACAACAATCAGAGATACCAGAATGGAAATGAGAACGGATTACAATGGATTTCATAACCAAGTTTCCCAAGACAACGGGTGGACTTGATACCATATGGGTCATCATCGACAGATTGACGAAATCCACATATTTTCTACCAATCAAAGAGAGTGACAAGATGAAAAGGCTTACAAGAACTTACAAAAGTGAAATAGTGCGATTGCATGGAGTTTCGATGTCCATTATCTCCGATAGAGATAGTAGATTTACATCAAGGTTCTGGTAGTCACTACAAAGTTCCCTGGGGACTAGACTAGACATGAGTACAACCTACCATCCACAAAAAAATGGGCAAAGTGAGAGAACGATACAAACTTTGGAAGATATGCTGAGAGCCTGTGTGATTGACTTTTGAAAGGCATGGGTTATCCATTTACCCCTTGTCGAATTTTCATACAACAATAGTTATCATACGAGCATAAAGGCTGTTCCATTTGAAACCCTCTATGGCCGCAAGTGCAGATCCCCTTTATGCTGGACCGAAGTTGGCGACACACAATTAGCTAAAGGACGAGATACTAAAAACACACTCACTGGTTCAGAAATCATACGAGAAACGATGGAGAAGATCATTCAAATTCGTGAATGGTTGAAGGCATCTAGAGACCGACAGAAAAGCTACACTAACCAACGGAGGAAACCTTTGGCATTCCAAGTAGGAGACTGCGTTCTATTGAAAGTCTCGCTGTGGAAAGGCTTAATACGCTTTGGAAAGCATGGAAAGCTAAATCCAAGGGACATAGGGCCTTTCGAGATTCTTGCAAGAATCAGCCCTTTAGTAACATACACCAAACCTTCCACGTATCGAACATGAAAAAGTGTCTGTCCGATGAGACTCTTGTTATCCCACTCGACGAGATCAAGATCAACAAGAGCCTCAACTTCGTGGAAGAACCGGTAGAAATCATGGACCGAGAGGTCAAACAAACGAAACAAAGCCGCATACCCATCGTGAAAGTCCGTTGGAATGCCAAGCGAGGACCTGAATTCAAATCGGAACGCGAAGATCAGATGAAACAAAAGTACCCACATCTTTTTCTCTGATTCACTTGTATCTTTCTTACTTTAAATTTCGGGACAAAATTCCCTCTAACAGGGGGATGATGTGACAACCCGATATTTCAACTCTATGTAAACGACCTAAAAAGTCAAGTATTGTAACGACGCTTGTTATAATGAAATTAACTTTGAAAATAAAATATCCAAAAATCACTAATTAAATTACCTAGACAAAACTTCAAAAATGGTCCCTGTGGTTTTCAAAAATATTAAGTTTAGTCCCTAAGTTCAAAAAACCTTATAGATCATCCCTGTGGTTTCAAAAATTTTAACATTTGGTCATTCCGTCTCACTCCGTTACCATTTAGCCGTTAAGTCAGGGGCATTTTTTTCATTTCATTACACATGGACCATTTATGAGGTTTTCTATTACTCTTTTTTAATAAATAAATAAATTTAATATGCAAGTGTCCCCCCTCTCTCTCTCTCTCTCTCTCTCTCTCTCTCGTTTATGCCACATAACCAAAAGCATTAACTTCATCTTCATTTTATATCTGGTAACCAAAATCAAAACTTGGAAACTAAAAACCACAGGGACGATTCTTCAACTTCTGTTTCTTCACATTCTGATTCAATAATTCCCTGAAATCAATCTATGATTTTTGTTAATACTCGCACAAAATTATGTTTATAGTGATTCCATTTGAATTGTTTTGTGTGTTTTTGACTTTGTTCGGGATGAAAAACGAGGGTTTTGCAGGTGAGTTTCTCGAATCAATAAAGAAGATGAATGATATGATGACGAAATATTCCTAAGCTATGTAGATTTAAAGAAAAATGCCAAGATCGACATCATTTCAGAACAAAGGGATCTTCAAAAAGGTATACAAGAACCCAACAGTGAGCAATGCTATGAATCGAACTTGGTTTTCTGTAACAAACGGGCTCAAATCAAAATGCGAAGAGATGGAACAACTATTCAGCCACACGGTATGTGTTTGAGCCTCGATCTGTAATTGTTCTCTTGTCGTTGCCAACACCTTCAGGATCTATGAAGTTTATATAATTTGTATATGCACAGATCTGGTGTAGAAATTGTCCTAAACATGAAAGATTTACTATTAAAGGTGTCCATGTCAAGCGTAACTGAAGAAGATGAACAATGTCAGCATACGTTCCAGTGTTTGTTACCACCAGTAAATAGGAAAACCACTGTGGATATTCTTTTTCCCATCGATTTTGAGATATAGGTCTTAAGCCACCGTCACCTGAGTTTGTTAAGGTGGGCGGTGATGAACAAACAGAGGCAGTAGGAGGTGGGGTTTTGTGTATGCTTCAAATCTACCTTTCTCCATCTCCGTTTCAGGTCTGGAATTAAGAACAAACCCTCCTCTGATTTTTGGATTCCAGTTTCGTTTCAGATTTGTAGTTACGAACTAAGAACAAACCATTGTGTGTGTATGCATGTGTTGTGTTCTTAGGTCATTGAAGAATGGTCATTTGTGTGTGTGAGAGAGAGAGGTGTGACCCTTGCATATTAAATTTAGACAAAACTTCAAAAATGGTCCGTGTGGTTTTCGAAAATATCAAGTTTAGTCCCTAAGTTCAAAAAACCTCACAGATGGTCCCTATGGTTTCAAAACTTTTAACATTTGGTCCTTCCGGCTAACTCCGTTACCATTTAGCCATTAAGTCAGGGACATTTTTGTCATTTCACTTCTCAGGGACCATTTATGAGGTTTTGTATTCCTTTTTTTTAAATAAATAATAAATAAATAAAATTTAATATGCAATGGGTCCTCTCTCTCTCTCTCCCGCGCGAGGTTTTTGCCTCCATCTTGCCATTACCAATTCTGATTACCCACCGGATGGTGGCGTTTTTGATAAGGAAAAGATCCGATTTCTCCATCGATTCTCCCTCTAATGTCCACAAGCAAACACTTTTGCCTCGCTACTTCTGCTTCTAATCCTACTTGACTCTGAACTCTTCTCATCAGTTGTTGATTTAATTCTGTCAATCTAACTACTTCGTCTTCTAATGAAGCAGCACACGCCTTCTTCTTTTCACGATACTTTCTCACAGCTTCCCAGTTTCCTGATGGACAATTCTTACCTTTTTTGTCGGAGGATTCAGCTGTGTCTTCTGTAGGGGTTTTGTCGTCATTGCTCGTAAGAGGTAGGATTTTGGTGTGCACATGGTAACATGTGTGCGTGTGTGATGAATCAGGTCCTGGAGGGTTACATGTGTGCTTATGAGTATACGCGTGTGTGTCGTTGAAGATTTCATCGAAGAAGCTATTAATGAAACCACTGCTCGGGATATCACCCACAAACATCTCGTGGTTGGAGAAATCGAGTTCTCCGTCATCCATTGCTTCCGATTTGTAACCTATAAACCCTAGAAATACAGATAATGAAGATAAATCAACACATAAACTAATTTTGATGCAACTTGAGCTCTAAAGAGAAGTAGCCACAAAAAATGGTAACTAATCAAGTAATAATCTAGAGATTATCTCTGGATATGCTAACAATTTCAACAGAATTCAACTGTAATCGTCTAATTGATCAATACACAGTAATTGACCAATTCGATTGAAGAAATTCATCGATAAAGAAACTCTGGAACTGAGTGAACTATTTAATTGAGTAATTAAGCAATTCGATATAGACTCACTCATCGTCGTCAATGGAGGTGGAAATCTTCGTGAAAGCACCATCTTGGACTCCACCTAATCTCTTCGACTCCTTTTGACTAATAAAGTTGATGATGGGAAGGCAAAAATGGGGTCATCCCCGATCGTGTTGCTGCCAGTTTCGCTACCTAAACTCCCGGTTCAAAGATCAAGGCTTCTTTGCAGAGATTTTTGGTCATGAAGATCATATTTTCTGGTTTTTGTGAGGAAGTTTCATCAATAGGCTTGTGGGAAAAGGGAGATTCGAGGAAAGTAAAAGGTCAGAAGATGGTTTTTTGGTTGAGAGAGAGAGAGAGGGTGGGACCCCTTGCATATTAAGTTTTATTTATTTATTTATTTATTTATTTTTTGTTAAAAGTAATACAAAACTTCATAAATGGTCCCTGGGTAATGAAATGACAAAAATGCCCCTTACTTAACGGTGAAATGCAAACGGAGTAAGCCGGAAGAACCAAATGTTAAAAGTTTTGAAACCACAGGGACCATCTGTGAGGTTTTTTGAACTTAGGGACTAAACATGATATTTTCAAAAACCACAGAGACCATTTTTGAAGTTTTGTCTTAAATATATTTATTATTTAAAAAAAAGGTAATAGAATACCTCATAACTGGTCCCTGGTTAATGAAATGACAAAAATGCCCCTGACTTAACGACTAAATGGTAACGGAGTGAGCCGGAAGGACCAAATGTTAAAAGTTTTGAAACCATAGGGACAATTTGTGAGGTTTTTTGAACTTAGGGACTAAACTTGATATTTTTGAAAACCACAGGGACCATTTTTGAAGTTTTGTCAATTACCTATTATGTTAGATGTCAATAAACCGTGATCGTACGTAAAAAGAATGCCCAAATATGACTTCGTATAAGAAAGTTATGAATTTTCCAAGTTCGGCTTAGCGACGGACAACTAAAGACTCGAAACAGAGATCGAACAACTTTTGACCGGAATGACCTAAATGAGAATCAAAGGTCTCGACAATGGTTTGTCAACGGTAAAAAGTCTGGCAAAAACAGACGTCAGATAATGAAGTTTTGAATTTTTAAAGAAATTTTCTTACCGCGACCTTTTAAAAATTAATAATAAAAATAATTTCAAAATTTGCCGACGGAATCTAAACGAAAGTTGTAAAGTATAGTTTCACCTACGCGTGGATATAAAGAACGTTGAAAACGGAGTTCTTATAAAGAAGATAGAAAATTTTGAAGTTTATTAAATATTAAAAATATAAACTTTAATTGGAAACTTCGGTATTATCCGACAGCTGAGTCACGCTCGAGTACGCCTAGCATACTCAAGGCCTTGGCCTCGAATCGTCCACGTCGCACCCTATGCGAGCTATATCAAGTCCCATCCGGGAGTCCGAGGTAGTCGAGGATGCGCGCATGCGTGACACACGGGTACGCCCAGCGTACGCGCGTACGCCCCGCGTTAGGAGGCTGTTCACACCCCCTATAAAAGGGATGCGAGGGTTACGAAAAAAAGGGTCATTCTCTCTCATATCTCTTGCGTTTTTGCCTCGTTTTCCGTGTCTGTGCTATCCCGAAGTCCCGGTCACATTGCTCAAGTCCCGAGGGTCATTTGTGCTCCTGAGATTCCCGAGAATCCCGACAAAATCCGCTTTCTCGAGTCAAAATTCTGTCCGGTTTTCATCCCGCCTTCTCTGATCTTTCAAGTGAGTTCATACCCCTATAATTCACACTTTTAAATGTTTTATAAGTACTTTTATATGCTTTTAAGGGGGGAATACAAGTAAAAAACTCGATTATTATTGTGTGTTATATAAAGTTTCATTATACGCGTTTTATCAACGGAATCATATGTGATTTATAACTATTATAGGGAAACTTTCATATGCAAATTATACCACGATAACATTTTATCTTTTGAAATAAGAAATGACTTATGTATTTATGTAAATCAGACACTCTGCTTATACTATATTTATGTGTGTCGGTTTTGGCACAACAAAAACTATACTTTTTGATAACAAGTGAACATTTCACTAGGGTTTATTATACAAACGAGACACCTTTAGGAAACTATAATAGGTATAGTTTTACGAGAATACTACGAACTTTTACATACATGGAAATACTATTTCAAGAAGCTACTTTCATATACAAGAACAAACGAACATTTTCACACATAAATCTCTTTTATACTAAGTTTTGTGAGACAGTAAACTTCATGTACGCTCGAGTACACATTTCAAGTCCTGTATTATATACCAAAATCCCTTGGAGGGGGAGCATGGTGTTTGTGTATAGATCTATACGGGATTGATAACCCCACACCCTGACTTTTAGCTACAGTACACCATTTGGGGTGACAAACGTCAGAACATTCCAACGCCTGAAGAACGTTGTGTATAGGCATTCCTTGTCAATAGCATGGTTATAAAACTCACATAGAGTATTAAAAACACATTGATTTACGGGGTTTTTCAGATGTAATGGAGGTTTTATACGTACATAAATTCATTTACTTTATGCATGAAAAACCCAATTGTGATATAAGTTTGGAACTTCTAACCACTACTCTTAGATGGGAAAACATCAACTTTTTAACATATATTGTTCTTGATTTAAGGCTACGCTTATACCAGTAGGAAATATGGGATTTTCTAGAGACTAACAAACAAAAACGAACAATTTCATTTTCATACAAATACTATCATTAAATGCTTATGAAAATCACCAGCTTAAATGCTTATCTACTCTTTCAAAACTACTTGTATGTTCGAGGCACTCAGTAATTACAGGTACTAAACAACTTTTCAAGAAGGAACGTTGCGGCACTAGTTTAAATTCATATTTTGGCATCATATTGTAATTGGTTTTGAACATGTACTCTTTTAAACAATGTAAACTTTCAATTATATATATGATGGTTGTATTGATTTCTTTACTATGTATTCATTTGTTACGTTACCATATGAAGTCATCCGCCCCCGAACGATTCCGCCGTTCCGGTTTGGGGGTGTGACATGCATTCCTTAGATTATGGATATTTAGTATGTTGCTATTTTGTAGTGATTTGTATCCTAGTATCGAGTATCTTGCTATACTGTAGTGATCTGTTAGATCTGTATCTGAGTATCGAGTATGCCGCTATGTAATAGTGATCTGTAGAATTGTATGTTATATGTACTTGATGGTTATCATCTGGTTGAGTCCCATAGGGACCCTTTATAGTCATATAGGATAGCCTGAGAACTCTTGATCTAGGTTTTCTTGTCTGTTCCTTGTTCGGTTGTAGCTCTAGAGTAGGATCAACGGTTTGGGTGGGTATCTCACTTTTGGTAACTAATGGTTACACACTCTATGGAGGTTAGCTGTTAATAGGACTGTATGATGTGAGAGGACTAGTAGGGGCTAGTGATTTGTATGATTGATGTTTTCCTGCATTATGTGGCTACGTGACCCTTGATTGTTTATATGTTGACATATATTACTTGTGGGTTGAGGCGTTCCTATTTTATGCTATAGGCCAAGATACCTAGTTTGGGCGGGCTATAAGTCGAAGGAACAGAGGTTTGGGAGGAGCAGTTGGGTTGAGGTAGCAGGCTAACATACCCTAGTATTTCGGTCTGGATGGACTAAAGGCTTGCGAGGTGGTGTAGTCAGGCTGAAGGCCCGAAGAGTGTCTCTTATGCATGCTTGTATTTTTATCGTATGTGGTATTTTAGGAGAAATCACTAAGCTTTGTGCTTATCCAGTTGTTTATTGTTTCAGGTATCATCAGTCATAATGGGAAGGCGTAGGCATGATTGTAGACATTCATCAGCAACAATGAATATTTTGCATTTTAATATTACTCTGATTTTTAAATGTATTTGTAATAAACGGTTTTCTCCATAACAGATTTATAATTGGGAAGATTTACTTAAATAAAATGAAATTGTTTTGTTGTGAAAATGGGATGTTAAAATAAATAACAAGCTCTATATGCAAACACTTTTGACTTAAAATTGTTTCGCATCAAAGTTATCTATGACATTGTTATATTTATTGTATAAATAAAATAAACATATTCCAATTTCAAGAAAGGGCTCTTTGAGTGCTAATAATGTACTTTATTTGACATATGTAGATCATATATATATATATACATATATATATATATACATACATACATACATACATATATATATATATATATATAGGATTCTAAATGGTATATTCACTAAACTATATAGAAAATACTTATTAAGGAACTATGCATTGTGATGTATGACTACCTTTCTAATTAATATCTAAGATTTACCACAAGATACCAAATAACCTTTATTAACAACTATAGTTGGTGTGCTTATATTTTACATGTTAAAATGTAATTATGTAATATTTGTTGAATTTTTTCTATTATAAAGTTGATATTTAAATCAATAATATCATATAAAGCCTTAGTGGTTATAAAGGATGAATTAAACCTTACTAGATATGGTTTGGGTTCTAATCAGTGGAAATTATCTTGTTTTATTCTTTCGGGGTTATGATTTAATCACTATTAATTGTACTTTCACTACAAACACCAACTAATAAGTAGATAAAACACTTTATAAGATTTTTAATGAAATGCACCATCCATATCTTACTTAATCTTTTGTCGATTTGAACCATACGTTAGGCTATGGCGCCTAAAAATAAGTTTACTAATTTCAAATTTATAGAA